CCCAGATCCTCCAGTAGAGACCGGTCCACCGTGGACAGACCCAGATCGGGCTTCACCGCAGCCTTCCACCTGCAGTCGGAGCTCTGGAGGGAGGAGGAGAGCTCAGCAGCAGGGTCTCCTCCTCCTCCTCCTCCTCCTCCTCGTCCAGGAGCAGAGCTTCTCCTCTCTGCTCCTCCGGTCCCCGCTGGGAGCAAACACCGACACCATGCTGCTGGAGACCCAGGACGTATTGCTGGGCCCACTGGAGGGAAGGGAAGCTTGGAAGAACCAGAACCAGGACTGCACGGACTGCCAGACCCTGCTGCAGTAAAATGAGAGGTTTTTAAAGGGAGTCTGGTGCTCAGAAACACTGTCCACAGAGACCGCCAGAATCAGCACAAAATTAAAAATCCTTAAGAGGGATTGCATCTTTGTCAAAATCAGCTTACATATCTCAGCTACTGAATGAATGCACATTGCACATCGTGGTCATTTGCTTTGGAGATATAATCACTTTGCCTATTAAACAGACTCAAAACTTTTATTTTCCTTCATATGGATGATTTGTTTTTTCTCCAACCCCACACCTGTCATCAGATGACTATGAGAACACAACCCTGTTTCCTATGCCTGCCAACCACACCTCAGACTTCCTACTGGCCTCTCTTGACCCCCTCTGGCAGCCTCCGGGAGTGCAGGACAGTCCTATAGGAGCAGTGATGGCCCTGCGTGGGGAGGGTTTCTCAAGCAGCAGCAGCAGCAGCAGCCAGTCCAGCATCAACGCCCAGGGACCCAGACTGATCCATCATCAGGAACACCGCTGTGACAGCCCAGACAGGAAACACTTTGGAGAGCTGATGAGTGCATGCAGGCGTGTAGGGATTCACACTGAGGGCACCAGAACACTGGAGTTCTTCATCGACCGTCCCACTGAGCCCACATTCAGCCAGGAGAGGAACAATCAGCACGCTATAGAGGTGAGTGTACTGATGAGTCGGACGAGCAGTGGTTGGACTGGACCTGTCAATCAAGTGAATGTGCTACAAAACATGCTTTTCTTTAAACTAGTGCTGGGCAACGATTAAAATATTTAATCGCGATTAATCGCATGGATTTTTTGCGATTAATCACGATTAATCGCATTGTTATGGCAAAGTTCAATAATGAATTCAAAAGTAGTGTATTGCGCACTTTTATTTTAAAAGTACTGCTATATGAACAAAAGGGCAATACCATTTGGTTCACGAGTTGCAGGTAGCATGTTTTATACTTAATGTGAATATAATTCATACTTTGTTGGCATCTTTTTTTTGTTGTTTTTTAATTATTATTATAATTTTTTTTCCCCATCTCAAAAGGCTCAAAGACATACACACACACACACACGCACACACACACACACACACACACA